GCCCCCACAAATAGAATCAAATTATGTGGGAAACACTGTTATACTTTAATGCACCCTCTCATTTGATGGTAAATGGAATTAATTTATATAGCGCTTTATTCAGTTTTTACAAACCCTCAAAGCGATTTACATTCTAAAAGTCACCCATTCCCACCCCATTCAAAGCCACATTTCTGACATTTTTGCTTAAAAGTTACCTGAGAAATGAATTCATAATCAGGAAAGTTGTTGATCCTGTTGAATGACTACTTGATTAATGAATTACGGCTTGCTTGAACTTTAATGTTAGATGTCTGTAAAGCCTTTTTGGATTATTATTTCTGAAACCAGCAGTAACACTTGACATCACAAGTTACATTTTGACTTGATGTTATTAGTGCAAACTTGCCACAATAAATATCAGCTAATGTGATGTGTAATGTGCAGTTAGTCTGACAGAGAAACGCTATTGCTGCCAGATGCCTTGTGACTTACAGCTTTAAAAAACGTCCCCATAGTCTAGTGTTTACTTGAGATCTTTGGTAATTTTTTTCAACTGTCAAATCTACGGTACTTGTTAATAATTGCCAGAAGGTTTTTGCAGATAATNCTGTAAAGCCTTTTTGGATTATTATTTCTGAAACCAGCAGTAACACTTGACATCACAAGTTACATTTTGACTTGATGTTATCAGTGCAAACTTGCCCTAATAAATATCAGCTAATGTGATGTGTAAGATATGCAGTTAGTCTGCCAGATGCCTTGTGACTTACAGCTTTAAAAAACGTCCCCATAGTCTAGTGTTTACTTGAGATCTTTGGTAATTTTTTTCAACTGTGTCAAATCTACGGTACTTGTTAATAATTCCCAGAAGGTTTTTGCAGATAATAAACATTTTTAAAGAGTCTTTCCCAGAAACATGTTGTTTTATTCCTTGGAAGAGTTCAGTGATTATAAATGAAAGTGATCAGGTTTGAGGGAAGCCTTTGAAGATAGAAATATGTGGGACTGTATCTGTTCACATTTAACTCCAAAGGTTCACCTGTCATTTCACACACACACACACACACACACACACACACACACACACACACACACACACACACACACACACACACACACACACACACACACACACACACACACACACACATGCAGCTGGCGCTCGAGCTATGCCGTGCTGTGAGATCTGACCCCAGCCGCTGTGTCTGCAGCCCCTTAATATAGCCCACTGCTGTCATGGTAGTTTTTGCCCCTCTTCCCTCGCTCTGTGCTGCGGGTGCACCAATATGTGGGCATGTTGTCCCGTGCTGATGACACGTCCAGCTAGACAGGGGGGTGTTGGGGTGTCAGCCTGGAGACTAGATGTGAAATCTTGCTACTGACTTGTGTAATTTCCCAAGTTACTGCGACTCAGACAGGCCTGAATAAAAAAAAAAAAAGATTCTGTCGATATCTAATCGTCATTCATTTGCATTTTGATTTGCTTTTAAAATGCTTAATTTAGTTGTTTTAATCGTTGTGTGCTTTTAAAGTACAGACAGATGGACAGAGAAAGATGGATGGCTCTTTGCTGTTCACCGCTGGTCCTGTTGTGGCCACTGTCTCTGATTGCATTAGAGTTACCATGGTGCAGCCCGATATCTTTGGCCTGGCCTCAAGCCAGAGGACGTGGTTCAACTTGCACACACACAAACACACATGCAATGCAATGAGGGAGACACAGAGATGCAGCAGCCCCCCGCTCTCAGAGATACGTTTCCAGTGTGATTGGAAGCTGAGAGTGTGGAGGACCTCCTCCATTCGCCCAACTACTTTCTTGGCATTTGTCTGAACTTTCCCTGGCACTCTGCTCTTCTTTTACGCGTTTTACCGGTGTGTCTTAGAAACCTGTGGAATACTATCTTTGCCTAAGCATGGCGTTTGGATAATCAACTTCTAACTTTTTGAACTCCAAACACAGCTCAAGGTTGGTAATTTGAATAACTTGACCTTCAATTACAACTTGGAGATATTATGATATACCAAATGTACCTTGTTGACATTAATATGGAAGGAAAACATTGTGGATTGTAAATAATAGTTTTCTGCGGTTTAAAGTCCTACTTTGTGTAAAGTTGCAAAGGGAATTTCCAATATAAACCTTTTATGATCAACCGTTTAAATACAGGTGCTTAGTGTAACAGACACATTTACACAAATGATGGCTGTCTCAAAATCTGTGTTAATACCCCTATAAAAAGTACAAGTTGTACAAGTTGCACCAGATGCTAGAAGTAGTTCTGTTGAAATGGGAAAATCTGCTTAAATATACAATATTTGAAATCCCAGAGACATCTTAAATCTGACTTTGTGTTTCTTGGCCAGTTTTTAGAATGTAAGAAAGGCTGTGGGTGATCTGGTAAGTGTAGAAACATAATATATATAACACAGTCCTACTGTGACAGTGTATTTCTGAACTATTATGTCCACA